TTTCAGAGCTTTTCTTGTCCCTCAGGAAACTTTATTTATAGCCTCCTTATAGAATCTATATCCTAAGTTTGCTCTTAATGTCTTGGGATATTAGCTGCATATGGAGAAATGGCATTACCTGAGCTATAAAAATCATTTCTAGATGTTTTATAACAGGAGGTGCATTTTAGAATTTTAAGAACTTTAAGTCCACATCCATCAATAAAATAAATTGTGGTGAATCAAAAGGACGGAAATCTACGTGTCAGTTAAAAACATGAGAAAACTCTCTGGGGTCTTTGTAATATTTATGTGACAAGAGATCAATATGTTTAGCATGATTCAATTTATGGAAAAGGGAACATGCATAAAATAGTCCCATATGTGTATATTTTGCACAAGATTACACCATTAAAATATTTAGAGGGCTAAATGTCGGTGTATGTTGTTTAAACTGAGGAATAGGAGAATCAAGAAGGCATTTTTTTGACATTGTCATTTTTGTGATTATTTTTATCTACACACACATTTTTAGCTTATCAGGGAATCTCAGTGTGAAATGATGGTTAAGATCACACATTATGGAACCTGACTCTACATTATATAGTGTTATTTGAAGTTAAGCCTTTCATATCTCTGTGGCTCACTTCATTATTTACAAATGAAGAAGACAGTAGTACCCTTCTTTATAGCCGTTGCTGCGAAGAAGAAATGAGATTATATGTAAATGACTTGAAGGAGCCCAGTTCCCATTGTCCTTGTCTCCTTCGGTCTCTACTTAAGTAAATCAATGTAAGTGAGTTTTTAAATTGCATTTTATGCTAAACATAAGTAAGTGTCACAGGGGCTAATGATGACACAAGAAGAAAGGCAGGAAGGAGTACTGAAAATTGATTGCTTTTCTTTCCTATGTCTGCAATAGTGCGGGCTTGCAGCCTCCCAATTAAAGAGGCTGGAACTAGGAATGTGTATCAGATTTGGAAATGCAACCTGAAACATCAAAACTGTTTGTTACAATTTCACAAATATTCATTAGAGTAAGACAAAAGGTCAAACAGCAATTCTGGGCAGGTGTCGGAGGGTCATCATCTCAATTGCATTACGACAAATGAGTTTGAAAGAACATATATGTGACTGAGTAATTACAAACGATGGTATTTTAATTTTAAATGTCTAGTCTGTGTATTTTAAGACCTTCAGAAGCAGTTTGCTGTCAGATGAAAAATAAGCCATGGGAGGTCACAAAAAAGAAATTTTAGTAAGAGTGCTCTTAAAACATATACACTAGAATTAACCTGTATCATATTACTTGCTAAAAAAAAGAAAAAAGAAAAAATAATAATACCCAGAGCCACTTCAGTTTAATTAGAAATTGCTTATTTAGTTTAGTGCGAATACAACTTGCAATCTCTTTATTCTATTCTATATTGTAATAAAATTGTCATATTTTAGGTGCATGACATGATGTTTCAATGTACATACACATAGTGACATTAGCACTACAGTCAAGCAAATTAACATATCCATTTCATCACACAGTACCACATTTATTTATTTATTGGTAAGAGCATCTGAAATCTACTCTCTCAGCAAGTTTCCCATATACAGTACAGCATTGTTAATTGTATTAACAGTTACCATGCTGCATCCTAGAGCTCATTTATTTCATGTGACTGCATTGCTGTACCCTTGACAAACACCTCCGCATTCCCCCCACCCCCCTGCCCTGGGAACCACCAGTCTACGCTGCTCCTGTGTGTTCAACTTTTTTAGATTCTACAGTTAAGTGAGGTCATTAACTTCTCTTTCGGTGTCTGGCTTATTTCACGTAGTATGATATCTTCCAGGCTCCTCCATGATGTTGCAAATGCCAGGATCTCCCTTTTGTAAAGCTTGAATTAGATATATATATATAATCTCCTCCTTTCATTCATGCACAGATGAATACATGAACATTTTTGTTGTTCCCGTATCTTGGCTATTGTGAATGACGCTGCAATGAACACAGGAAGGCAGGTATCTCTTCAAATTACTGATTCAGTTGTTTTTTTTTTTGTATATATACCCAGAGGAGGACTCCTGGATCACATGGCAAGACTATTTTTAATTTTTGGAGGAAGCTCTTCATCATTGTCCACAGAGGCTGCACCAATTTATATCCACCAACAGTGTCGAAGGGTTCCCTTTTCTTTATATCCTCAAAAACACTTGTTATCTTTCTTTTTTTTTGATAATAGCCAAATAATCCCCTCATAGGGTTTCCTTCCATCACATGTTTCAGAGCCCCAAAGCCCAGCATAGAGAGGGTGGTGAGGAACAACCCTTTACAGAGCTATGCTTTGATTATTTATTGATTCTATCAAGATTAACCTTGACAGATTTAATCACTGAGGTATAGGAAAACGCAGTTTTAAATTTACTTGAAGGCATGTTTAAAGAATATGAGTAACTCATAAAATTTCATATTTTGGGGCCTCATTCTGTGATCCTAAGGTAAATAAAAGTGAGTTTCTACCAGCATCCATTTGATTTAGTAAATTACTCTATTCATGCAAGTTGTTTCTTCAGCAATAATGTTCACCACTTCAAAATATTTTCCCAGGCTCCGCTGAGATGTGACTGTTATCAAACAACAGATGCATCTCAGTAAAGGCAGACCCTACGCAGTGTTTTAGGAAGGAAGGTTTCCTCATTTCTTCCCGGGCACTTAAAAATCCAGTACCTCTCACATCTCATGAACTCTCTTACCCCTATGACCCTTCAAGGCCAAAACCTGTAACTAGGACTTGTAGAAAATATGCTCCCAGAATAGCTAAAAGAAACTCTCCAAGTTGTACGTAAGCATATTTTGGTAAAATATGTTACACAGCTTGGGGTAGGCAATATGATGGCCCCTGCATGGGCAAAGGTCCAAGGGGAGAAAGATAACTGCAATAATGAAATGGGTCCCTACCCTTCCAAGCTTAGCCGGACATCGTGAAGGGATCCCTTTTTACCATGGGCATCACAGCACAGTAGCCCACAGTGGTGGCGCGGAGGGTGTGCGCGCGTCAAGTTCTCGGCGTTCTTTGTTGTTGCTATTTTTTTGACATTATTCAAGCTAACATTTCAATGTAGGAGTTATTTGTAGTAAGAAGTTCCAACTGAATTGTCTGTTGTAATTATTTGAAGACTTGGTACAAAATGAATCAAATATATCATCTTACACAAGCTATTTTATTCTGATCGTAGAAAATAAGAACATCAAATTACTATGAATTAAACATAACATTATTAGTGTCGTGTTTTATTTTGTTTTGCCTTTCGGAGAATAATATTACGCTCCTGTTGCAATGTCTGACAGCACAAGGAGGGGAAGTGATACACTATGCAGTTACCCAAAAGGTATTTATGTTTTCTGATTCAGAGCACTTAGGCATTACTGCTGTAATAAACATGGATGCGACCAAAATTCCAGGGTCACTGGGCAGACAGAGAAAAGCAGGAACTTCCAGACTGATAAGAAACCACACATTTTGGGGTAACAAGTGTCCTGGAGGCAGAAAAAAAATATGGGAAAAGGCAGGAATCTCTGGTGTCTGAATGTAAATTTTGCTCATTATTTCCTCATTATAATAGAATTAGTCTTGCAGTAAGTAGTACCCGTTATGCACCGATGCCACGACACTTCCAATCAAGGCTAAATAAAGACAAAAATCTCTTCTCCCCTCAAGAAGGTGGAGCTGGGATGAAAATCAGGAAATCTGGCCTAAACCCCTCCTTCTCCAATGAATATTCCA